TTAAACAGACAAGAGTTCTTTTTCCAACCCTGGACATTCCACAACTTCTGAAGATGCCTACCACAGATGTGGGCGAAACATCAGGAGAGAATGCCTCTGCAACATGGCCATACAGCCCGGAAAACTCACAGCAACCCAGTGTATGTTAAAGTTTTGTGATTTGTTATACCTCCTTCCCTCTGTGTATACATGTGTATATGTATATGTAGGACCCACTGTGTTTGGCTGTTTTACTGAAAAGTGCTGTGTACATTTGCCAGTGCTACATAAAGGGTAAAAACAATAGCAATCTTCCATCCAAGTACTGACTGCTTTGTTAGTTTTCAGACAGAAGGTTAGACGAGGATGCATAGAAGGTTATTTTTTTAAAGATCTGTAATTCCTTTTTAAGAGATTGAAAATTGGATTCTGACATGCTATTCAATCCCTTCCCCATCTGCTTGTAAACCAGGAAAGATCATAAACATGTTTCATGTTTTGTCGAAGGCTTTCATGGCTGGAATCACTAGGTTCTTGTGGGTTTTTTTCGGGCTATAGAGCCATGTTCTAGAGGCATTTCTCCTGACGTTTCGCCTGCATCTATGGCAAGCATCCTCAGAGGTTGAGAAGGTCTGTTGGAAGTAGGAAAAATGGGTTTATATATCTGTGGAATGGCTGGGGTGGGGCAAGGAGCTCTTCCCTGCTGCAGTTAGGTGTGAATGTTTAGCTGATCACCTTCATTAGCATTTGAAGGCCTGCCTGAGCCTGGGAAAATCTCTTGCTGGGAGGTGTTAATCTGTGCCTGGTTGTTTCCTCTCTGTTGTTTTACTGTTATAATTTTAGAGTTTTTTAATACTGGTAGCCAGATTTTGTTCATTTTCATGGTCTCTTCCTTTCTGTTGAAATTGTCCACATGCTTGTGGATTTCAATGGCTTCTCTGTGTAGTCTGACATGGTAGTTGTTAGAGTGATCCAGCATTTCTGTGTTCTCAAATGCTGGACCACAACAACAACCACCATGTCAGACTACACAGAGAAGCCATTGAAATCCACAAGCATGTGGACAATTTCAACAGAAAGGAAGAGACCATGAAAATGAACAAAATCTGGCTACCAGTATTAAAAAACTCTAAAATTATAACAGCTAAACAACAGAGAGGAAACAACCAGGCACAGATTAACACCTCCCAGCAGAGATTTTCCCAGGCTCAGGCAGGCCTTCAAATGCTAATGAAGGTGATCAGCTGAAACATTCACACCTAACTGCAGCAGGGAAGAGCTCCTTGCCCCACCCCAGCCATTCCACAGATATATAAACCCATTTTTCCTACTTCCAACAGACCTTCTCAACCTCTGAGGATGCTTGCCATAGATGCAGGCGAAACGTCAGGAGAAATGCCTCTAGAACATGGCTCTATAGCCCGAAAAAACCCACAAGAACCTAATGTTTCATGTTGCTTTTGAAGTTTTTCAGATGAACAAGAAGAGAGGTCCTAACTTCTTTGACTCTAATTGGTCCCGTCTCCCATGCATGTACTAATTTCCTTGTTCACACTACTTTTCTCGTACTAATGAGAACTTCATTTGAATTCCAGGAATTGCATTGGATTCAAAATGTGTTCCTGAATATCCTTTGTAAGCTGTGTAGCAAAATCTCCCTATATTTGTTCCAGTAATACTGCGCATAAAGTCTCTTTTATCAACTTTCCTCTGTTTTATTTAAAAAAATAAATTGCTGCTGTGGCTCACAACGTTTTTGTTCAAAGGGATTACTCTTTCTAGAGAGAATGTGTGGTTGGCATTTTTCTTAGAGGAGGATGTTGCATTTTTTTAATTTATTGCCTGGGTAACCATCTGGGTGTGGAAAACAAGATTTAAAGGGCAACTACTGCTCCCTTGGAAAGTGGAAAGACCACTGTAGAAGCTGATTTTGATCTTTCACCTTAAAATATTTCTCACTGGCCTCTGTTCTTTAAAATGAAATAAGGCTGATTACATTTTTTTTAAAAGTTGATGCTAGACAGTAGGTAACTTAAAATGCATTGATATATGTGCATTTCCCTAGCCTAGCCAGCCCAAGAACTGGAAGCTTCTCTAATAGTGGACCCAAAGAATCTTAGAATATTAATAAAGCTGAGTATCCCAGTGACATCTCTTTCTATAAACGTCAAAATATGTTTATTTGTATGTATGTTTGATCCACAAAAGCTCATACATGGTGTTATGGATCTGGACCAAACTTGGCACACATATCCTTCTTGGTCTAACAAAAATAGTGGCAGGGTTTTGTTTTGTTTTGTTTTGTTTCTGGTTGCATCTCGAGGTCCTGAGGATTACCTGGGAAGGAATCCCAGTGGAGCATTGCAGCACACCCAAATACCTGGGAGTTACCCTGGACTGTACTCTGACCTACAAGAAGCACTGCAAAAAGTAGGTGCTAGAAACAATATCATGCAAAAGCTGACTGGCACAAACTGGGGATCACAACCAGACAGGGAAGACATCTGCCCTTGCGCTTTGCTGCTCTGTTGCTGAGTATGCATGCCCAGTGTGGAACATATCTCACCATGCTAAAACAGTGGATGTGGCTCCTTATGGGACATGCTGCTTCATCACAGGGTGTCTACGCCCCACACCACTGGAGAAATTATACTATTTAGCCAATATTGCACCACCTGACATCCGCCAGGAAGTAGTAGCCAACAATGAAAGGACCATGACAGTGACATCTCCGGACCATCCCCTGTTCGGATATCAGCCAGCACGGCAATGCCTCTTAAATCAAGAAATAGTTTTCTATGATCTACAGAGATACTCAGAGGAATACCTCAGCAAGTGAGAGTCCAAAAGTGGCAGGCTAAAACCTGGAACCTCAACCCATGGCTGATAACGAATGAGAGACTCCCTCCTGGTCACACAGAAGACTGGGTGACTTGGAAGGTGCTGAACAGACTGCATTCTGGCACCACAAGACGCAGTGCCAACCTTAAGAAATGAGGCCACAAAGTGGAGTCCACGACATGTGAGTGTGGAGAAGAGCAAACCACAGATGACCTGTTACAATGCAGCCTGAGCCCTGCCCATGCACAATGGAGGATCTTCTTATAGCAACACTAGAGGCGTTCCAAGTGGCCAGCTACTGGTCAAAGGACATTTAGTATAATGCCAAGTTTTTAAAAACTTTGTGTTTTTAAATACATTGCAGCTGTACCCTCGGTTCTCTTCTGACACGATAAATAGTAGGGTTTTTGTTGGTGGTGAGGGGGTTGATCGAGGATGATAGGAGTTACAGTATAACATGCACTTTTGTGGATTGTAGACCACTTCTTCAGACTCATTGATAGAATTAATATCAAACACTAAGTATATAGATATGGGGTACAAAAACATTCATTTTGGGACACTGGCCACAGGCCTTCAAACAAAACTGATACTGGTCTATCAGGCTGTCAGACCGTACAGAGGTGTAAAAACAATAGATCTGCTGACTGAAAGTGATTTCTCTTCAACTCAGATGCTTTGTTGAGGACTCCTTTGTTACATGCCCACTTATGAAAACATATATCATTATTGCCTCTGTTCATAGCTCTGATATGGATTGGAATGTGTGACTATTTCTCAGATCAGCTCAGTTTCTTTCCAACATTCTTAGAAATGTTGTTTTGATTGAGAACCCTTTCTTATAAGTAGGAGAACGTTGGAAATCCATGAATGTTGAAGTAAAAAATTCTCTACAGCTGAGTATGCGGGGTAACTGGTGGAGAACATCACACTGTTTTATATAGGAACAGAGTTTAGAATAATTAGTTTTTGGACTTCACCAGGATCCCCATAGGCCATGCTGACTGAGGGATCCTGGAAGTCTGAAAAACCAAAACCAGCTTTTATGTGTTTGACAGGTGAATATAAATGAGAGTTGTTTCTAGGGATGGCTTGCAAGTGACTTGTTGAGATCCTGTAATTCTTCTTGTTTTGCTTATTCTTGCTTTCTGTGATGGGATTGCTTGCCGATATTTGACAATGACAAACGTTCAAGGCTTAGACTGGTTCTACACTGTGGCATTAATGCAATTCAACATCACTTTAACAGCCATGGCTCAATGCTATGAAATCATGAGATTTATAGTTTGGTGAGGTACTAGCCCTCTTTAGCAGATAAAGCTTGTAAAACTACAACTTCCTTGATTCCATGGCATTTAACCATGGCAGTTAAAGCAATGTCAAACTGTAGATGCACCTACCTGTGTCTAGAAAAAATAAATTATCATATGCGATAGAAAGAAAATTGGTTTGCTATCAGTTTTACAGGCTGTATGGCCATGTTCCAGAAGCATTCCCTCCTGATGCCACATCTATGGCAGGCATCCTCAGATATTGTGAGGTATATTGGAAACTAAGCAAGGGTGGTTTATATCTCTGTGGAGGTCCAGGGTGGAAGAAAAAACTTTTATCTGTTGGAGGCAAGTGTGAATGTTGCAATTAATCACCTTGATTAGCATTGCAAAACTGTGCCGCTTCAAGGCCTGGCTGATTCCTGCTTGGGGGAAGGAAAGTTTTCTGGCACCTTTGCCTGCAATTCCCTCATTTTCCCATTTGGATTTCAACCATCCAGGGAGCCTTTTTCAAAGACTGGGAAGTGGGGAGAAGACAACAAGGTTACGGCGACATTTCCTTCTGTGAACTAAACAATGATAACTCAACCTGTAACAATGTTTATAGTAAATTCTAGCTTTCTATTTGTAAAAAATAAGAGACAAGAGACTTGCCATCACAGCATCTGCTCTGTAGTTGAGGAAGTCATCAAAATAGGTGTTCTTCTTGATGGAATAATAGCAGAGATAATTGATTATTTTCTTGGGCACTTACTGAAGTGTACCAGAACCTAAAATCATAACTGATGCATATCAGAAAATGACAACAATTTGCCAGTGGGCGTGATCATTTCAGTATCCGCTTCACTTATAGGTAGAGTCCTATCGGCTGGCACTGATGTGTTCTGCTCTTTCCCTTTTTCTTTTTAGAAAGCATGGCCTCGGAACTGTCCTTGAACATCAACATCAAGGAACCACGATGGGACCAAAGCACCTTTGTTGGGAGAGCGAAGCATTTCTTCACGGTGACAGATCCCCGCAACCTCCTGCTCTCGAGCAGGACCTTGGAAGACGCTCGGAGGGTGATTGAAGATTACAGGTTCTCTTGTTAGTCTGGGGATTGCGTAGTTTTTGGCAGGGGGCACACTGACAGTGAGGTAGACTTTAGCTCTGCGGAAACCCAAATAATGTTCCAAGTACAGGCAGTCCCCAAGTTATGAACAAGATAGGTTATGTAGATTTGTTGTTAAGTTGAAACTGTATGTCAGAACAGGTACATTTATTAAGTGTACCTCCAGCCAAAATATATATTTAATAACTTTGGATTGCATAGGGAAGGCTTAACACACCAGTAGTGTTTGTTTTGCCATCTGTGCCCCTATTCAGAAGATTTCACCTCACTTTCTGTCCCTGTGAGAATTGGATTTTGAAAAATTTGGCTTGTTGTGGAAACAAGGATTTGTGATAAAGCTTCAGCTGAGCTATCTTTCACCTATGATACCTCTTCCAGGAGTGAATTTCCCTTCCTGGGGATAGATTTCTCCTACTTCCTGTTATCTCAACCCTGTTCTTAACTATGAATCATTAGTAAGTCAGATGTTTGTAACTTGGGTACTGCTTGTACTTGATTTGGCCCTCAGCTTTCATAACTTTCCTCCAAAGCACCAGAGATGTATTTTTATTATTATTATTTTTAGAAACACAACAAGACTAGTACACAGCACACATTATTATTGTAATAATAATAATAATAATAATAATAATAATAATAATAATAATAATAATGTTTATTATAGACCTCCCTGGTGGCACAGCGGGTTAAACCGCTGAGCTGCCGAACTTGCTGACTGAAGGGTTGGCAGTTTGAATCTGGGGAGTAGGGTGAGTTCCCACTGTTAGGCCCAGCTTCTGCCAACCTAGCAGTTCAAAAACATGCAAATGTGAGTAGATCAGTAGGTACCACTCTGGCAGGAAGGTAATGGCGCTCCATGCAGTCATGCTGGCCCCATGACCTTGGAGGTGTCTGTGGACAATGCCAGCTCTTCCGCTTAGAAATGGAGATGAGCACCACCACCCCCCACCAGAGTCGGACACTTCTAGACTTTATGTATATTATGTTTATTTATACCTTGCTTTTTCTGTCCACAAGGAGACTAAAGGGGCTTCCCAGCATTTGCCATGTTTTTGTATAGCAAAATAACAACATTGAAACCTATCCACAACCATAACTGTATGGTGGTTAGAACCACTGAATAATTTGCAAAGCGGGGAAGGATGAATGCATTGATCAGCTTTAACATTCCAATTAGCCAGAAAACTTACGGAAAGTTTGTAGAAGGTTTTGTTTTGGAGGCAGCGCAGTGCTGGATTCTTGCAGTAGTATGGTTTGGGCATAGCTGAAAGAGCATTGTGCCATCTATTCTGAAATGAATAATTCAGAACCTGCAAAAATAGCCAGCTCAGCCTGTCCACAACAAAATACAGAGATGTATCTGGAGGGTACAGTGGACACTCTTCTGCACTACCTTTCCAGATATGTTATCGCCACTAATGCCTCCTGCAGCTGTGAACAGTGATTCATTGAATTTATTTCTTTTTATTCTCCAGTAACATGTACAATGTAACCATTCATTTCCCCAACTTACCTCCAATCTTTTGTGGCTTATTTCAGGTTAGGTAAAGCGTCCCCAGGACTGACTGAAGACCAGCTGTGGCGAGCTAAATACATTTATGACTCAGCCTTTCATCCTGATACTGGCGAGAAAATGATCCTGATTGGGCGAATGTCTGCCCAGGTGCCCATGAATATGACCATTACTGGATGCATGCTCACCTTCTACAGGCATGTAGAAACGCTGAAGATCCACTCTTGTGCTTGGTCTCTGTTGTGTGGGAGTAAGGTGGGATAGTGTGTAACCCAAACATTACAGTAGATGCAATGACAGACCTTTGCTTCGAAGTTTATTTTGTATTTCATTAAAAGTAGTGCTTTGGGAGGGCTGACTTGGACCATGGCACATCACTGCAGGAAGAGGGCTTAACTATGTCTTCTCAGTGACATGGTCAAGCTAACATAAGATGTATAATATTGGCTAAAATAAGAGAAGTCAAATATGCATGTCTTTTGGCACTTTGGCACATTTTGAAATATTTGCTTAATTTGTCCCTGTGCAATTGGTTCTGGACTATTTTATAGGGGTCTAAACCCCGGTGGCTCAGCGGGTTAAACTGCTGAGCTGCTGAACTTGCTGACCGAAAGGTAAGTGGTTCAAATCCGGGGAGTGAGGTGAGCTTCCGCTGTTAGCCCCAGTTTCTGCCAACCTTGCAATTCGAAAACATGCAGCATGAGTAGATCAATAGGTACCGCCTCGGTGGGAAGGTAACAGCGCTCAATGTAGTCATGCTGTCCACATGACCTTGGAGGCATCTATGGACAACGCAGGTGCTTCAGCTTAGAAATCGAGATGAGCACCACCCCCCAGAGTCGGACATAGCTAGACTTAATGTCAAGGGGAAACCTTTACCTTTACCTTAACGTTGTTCACTTGTATATGTGATGTCTGCAAGTACAAGCTGTGACCATGATAATATATATCTTTGGCAGAGATTGTGTATTCAACAGAATCTACAAAACCCCCAAAGAGTCTTTGTATTTATAACAACAAGCATGCCTATGCAAGTTCTTGCATATTTGTCAGACTGTGTGCAAACATATTGTGTGTCTGCTAATGCCTGTAACCTATAAAACTTGTGTGGGGCGCATGCATGTCAATAAACAAAAAGATGGCTCATGACAGTGTTTAGAAATCTGAGTGTTTACAAGAACAAGTACCGAGAATGCATGCCACTGACTTATGAACATATGAAACCATAAGGCGTTCATTGAGCAGCTGTGTGTAGGTGGACTGAGAAGTACACAGGGCGAGAACAATCTGTCTTTTTCTGGTCTGATCTATGCTTTGTCTGCCCAGTGGTCTGTGTAAACTCTGATTATCTCTTTTTCTGCAGGACAACCCCTGCTGTATTATTCTGGCAGTGGGTGAACCAGTCTTTCAATGCCATTGTAAACTACACTAACCGAAGTGGAGATGCCCCCATCACTGTCAAGTAAGGAGATTTAAGTTTGCTGGCACCACTGGCAATGGATGTAAATGTTTCTGTGGGGAATTGCATCAGATGGCAATGACGTTGACTAATCCATGTCAGCAAATGGTTTCAGTAATTTTTCAGGATTCATACCTATCAGGGAAGCAAGCCATTAGACCTAGAAACACTTTGTCCCTATATTGAACCTGAAATAAAATGTTAAAGTGTGGAATGCTCCTGTTCAAAGTCAGTCCAAACAGTCAGCTTCTCAGAATATTCCCTTACCTCATGTCCCTGCCCTTACTCCAGTGATATAAAACATGCACAGCCCTTGTTAGATTATTCTGGGACTTTTCCTTTCATATGATATTTCCCTTGGTGGCACAGCAGGTTAAACTGCTGAGCTGCTGAACTTGCTGACCGAAAGATTGGTGGTTCGAATCTTGGGGCAGGGTAAGATCCTGCTGTTAGCTCCAGCTTCTGCCAACCTGGCAGTTCAGAAGCATGCAAATGTGAGTAGATCAATAGATTAAACCCTTGCGCTGGCAGGACTGCTGACCAAAAGGTTGGCAGTTTGAATCCAGGGAGTGGGTGAGTTCCCATCTGTCAGCTCCAGCTTCTCATGGGGGACATGAGAGAAGCCTCCCACAGGAGCTGAGAGATGGGAATGATCCCCCTAGGGTCCTAAGATCATCTGAGGAGACCCTGTTCGTTGTCTCCCCATTGTCGCAATCGCATCTGGTGGGGACAAGAGACAAGACCTTTGCTGTGGTGGCCCCCCAGCTGTGGAACTCCCTCCCGAGAGAAATTAGATGTGCTGCATCCCTCTTGACCTTCCGGAAACAAGTAAAATCCTGGCTATGGGATCAGGCCTTTGGAGAGTAGACTGACCTACTGAAGTACTGACTTATATAGAACTGATGGACTACCCTTGGATAATGATTTAAATCGGTGACTGCTGACTGTTTGTTGTCTATTTTTATATTGTTTTTATATTGTTTATACAGTTTTATACTGTTTATGCTGGTTTATATTGTTGTTATTATTATATTGCCGTTAAATTGTTTATTTATGTTTTGATGTGGGCGCTATGGGGTGCTACTTTGTTAGCCGTCCTGTGGCCCTCTGCGGACGTTGAGATAGGACGGGAGATAAAAGCCCTAAATAATAATAATAATAATAAATAAAACATCCAGGTGTCCCCTGGATGGCCAATTCTCTCACAACAGAAGCGACTTGCAGTTTCTCAAGTTGCTCCTGACATGGGGGGTGGGGGGTGGGGTGGGAATAGGTACTGCTTCAGTAGGTAGGTAGCGGCACTCCATGCAGTCATGCTGGCCACATGGCCTTAGAGGTGTCTATGGATAACACCAGCCTTTTGGCTTAGAAATTGAGATGAGCACCACCCCAGAGTCTGACACGACTAGACTTAATGTCAGGGAAACGTTTACCTTTACTGTGATATTTCCCCTAAAATATTGTGTGCTACTGTCCATCCTGAAGCTCCCACCTTCTTGTATGTGGATGTGAATAGTCAAATTAGGTTCATTATCTTGGATATAATTTGGACTGAAATTCAGAACAGATTTGACTACCCTAGAAACCAAGGGATGTTTCACAGGTTGGAGTCAGAGTTGGGGTTAGTAAGGAAGCAAGGAAGACTTTCTCACCAGAATTGCCTGCTTCCTTTGTAGCCAGCTGGGTACAGCCTACGTCAGTGCAACCACAGGAGCCGTGGTAACAGCGTTGGGACTGAAGTCTCTCACCAAGGTAAGTGACCCACTGGTTTTGCTTGTTCTGGAACAGAGTGGAATTATCCCTGGAGAAATCTTGTATGGCATGATTCAGTCATGTCTGGGATGTTTGCTGAAAGTAGGCCATCTTTCCCTATCCTGTTGGGCAAGGAATTGCAGACAAAAGAAAAAGGAGAGACTTGTTCAAGTTTACACAGGGAAACAATGCCAAAATTTAAAAAGAAAGCTTTCCTACTTTGGTCTTGGCATTATTTTGGAATGTAAGTCTGTTCTGCCATCTATTAAGGGTGTATCATTGGTCTTTCTTATCTCCTTTTCCTTGATAGCATTTGCCACAAATCATAGGACGCTATGTGCCTTTTGCAGCTGTGGCTGCCGCAAACTGCATCAACATCCCATTAATGAGGCAAAGGTAAGATGTGGGCTTCATGGAGGGTGTAAGGGACACATTGTTGCATAGTCAAACTCCTAGTCATTTCTTGCACGTTGCATATTTTAATGAAAGGCACCACTGGGTTTCTGTCCTCACTCTCCTGACCCTAAAACTCAGAGGTATTTGTTGGTGATAATGTATTTAATCTACAACACTTCTGTCTGTTTGCCTGTATGTCTAAAAAATGTCATTGAATGTTTGCCATGTATGTGTGCATTGTAATCTGCCCTGAGTTCCCTTCAGGGTGAGAAGGATGGAATATAAATACTGTAAATAAATAAAATAAAATAATACTTGGTGCCACGGAGGTACAGTGGGTGAAACCACTGAGCTGCAGAATTTGCTGACCAAAAGGTCGGTGGTTTATATCCGCAGAGCGGGGTGAGCTTCCATCGTTAGCTCCAGCATCTGCCAACCTATCAGTTTGAAAACATTCAAATGTGAGTAGATCAATAGGTACCACTTCAGCAGGAAGGTAATGGCGCTCCATGCAGTCATGCTGGCCACATGACCTAGGAGATGTCTGTGAACAATGCTGGCTCTTTGGCTTGGAAAGGGAGATGAACACCAGTCAGACTCTACTAGACTTTATGTCAAGGAGAAATCTTACCTTTACCTTTACTTGGTACCAAATTAACACCTGCAAAGAAGGCTTTCACAAGAGGAGGGAAAGTAAAACGTGACAAAACATTCTCAAATAAGTTCAGTGAAAATAAATTCTAGCTGTTTAGTTAAAGGGCTCTGGAGCTTCTCCAATCCTTTCTTGGACCATCCCTGGAGCTGTTTGGGCAGAGGGCATCTTAGGGCTGCTGCCACCGCTGCATCACTACCAGCAAGCAGCTCCCTCCCAGAGGCTTCTTGGTAGTGTTTCATTTCGGGTCATATGACTTGTTGCCAGAAATAGCATCACCAGAAATTTGTCACTGCCAATAAGTGCCTGGGAAGGAACTGTTTGCTGTGGTGATGCAATAGTGGAATCCGTTGGTGATGTGGACAGTGGATCCGGCAAGGTCCAGATATGCACACCTCTGAAACTGTGGGATCATTTGGACCTTCCAGTCAGTATGTTCCATTGGCACAAGTTAATGGCTGGATGCAGTTGTTCTGCTGCAAATCCAGGCACACAGTATCTGAGTGGTGAGCCTGTTTTGCCTGTGCAGACATGGTCTCAGAATACACAAATGCTATATGTGCACTTTTGCATTTGCAGAGTTTCTGTTTCTCCAAATAGTGCTTTCCAAAGCACAATGTAGCTTCACCATTTGTGATGATGTCTGAGCAGTATTTAACATGCTTCTGGTCCTCATGGATGTGATCCTGTACCACACTGTTTGTGATTGTCTTATTTTGAAGTGTCAACAGAGCTTGCACAATACTTCTGTTTCCAAGAGTGTACAGCATTGTTGACCTTTTTGATGGCAAAAGAAGGGAAAGGCTCAAAATTACAATAAAGAGTAATATTTTCCTCATCCATTTCTGCAGGGAGCTCAAGTTTGGTATCCCTATTACAGACGAGAATGGGAATCGGCTGGGTGAGTCGAAAAAGGCAGCTCAGCAAGCAATTGTGCAGGTCGTGGTATCTCGTATTGGCATGGCTGCACCCGCCATGGGTAAGTAGCTGCTATGATGGACATGAAACAAATATTCAAAATTCAGTGAATATTCCATTGCTAATTTTTACCAATTATATTGTTTTGATGGGGTAGGGGAGTGGGTGATGAGAAGGTCTGGGACAAAATTTGAATGTGGAGTTTGAATGTTAACATTTTAACTGAAGGTTTGAAATCTGATTGCTTTATGTTTGGTGTGATATCTTGATAATTTTGATTTTTTGAAGATTCAGCTCTAGAAACTCATAAACCATCAGTGAATAATCACAATTACATGTTATTGGTTAGATGTCACAACATAATAATTATAATCCCCTGCAGTTTATCAAGCATACCATCAGGCTGAATAAATATTACATTTCATATGTCAAATTCTATTGAATACGTTCAATATAATCCTCATACCTGCAAGGAATACATTCCCAGATTTCCCATGGATACGCAAAACAGTGGACAATAGCGAATCCCATTGAAATGAAGGACTTCCAGTTCAAGGATACCATAGAGTCGTGCTGGAGGATCTAGAAAATGCCCAGGGACATTTTGGTCAGATAAATGAAACCATGTACAGGCAGTCCCCATGTTACGAACAAGATAGGTTCTGCAGATTTGTTAAGTTGAATGTGTTGGTAAGTCAGAACAGGTACATTTCCAGCCATATGTGTGTGTGTGTGTGTAAAAAAAAGCAGCTTTGGATAGCACAGGCTAACCCTCCTGTTGTGTTTGTTTTGCTGTCTGTGCCCCTGTTCAGAAGATTTATTTCACCTCATTTTCTGTCCCTGTGATAACTGGATTTCCGAAAATTTGGCTTGTTGTGGAAGTAAGGGATGGTGAAAAAGTTTCAGTGGAGACACCTTTTCCCTATGATAACTCTTTCAGGAGTGAATTTCCCTTCTGATGAGCAGATTTCTCTCACTTCCTGATTTCTCACCCATGTTCTTAACAATGGACCTCTTCATACGGCCCTTTCAGACCACATTGTTTCACCGGCATTTGCAAGTGAAAGGGCAGGTGTGCAGGGCGGCTTGTGGTGCCCTGCACACCCTCCCTCCTGTCCCTGTTAGATGGAAGAAAGGATGGCAGTGCAAGTCAATGCACATTGCCCCACCACCCTTTCCCCCATCTTACTGGAAAAGGGGAGGAAAGTGCTTTGGGCGCTCCCCCTCCACTTTGGGAAGAATGTGGGTGGGGTCTGCCATGCGTTGTGTGTCGGCACATGGCAAGCCCCATCCTTGCCAGGAATAAAAGTGGCAAAACGGGGCTAAAATATCACGTGTGAAGGGGCCCCATGAGTTGTTTATAAGTAGAAGGTTTATAATTTGGGGATTGCCTGTATATTTGTCCCTCAGATACAGGGTTTATACTGAATTTAGATGTCAAACAACCTTTCAGGAAATAAGAGTTCTGTGGAAGCTCTTGGAGGCTCTTAAGGAAGAACAAAAAAGGATACTGTTCTCACTACAATCATAACAATATATATTTTTATTTTTTTGTGTTCTGAATCAGTATCATTCAACTTTATTTCTAAACCATCCTCTCTCCCTGGAAGAACTCCAGGCAGTTTACACATAATGAGAAGCATGCTTTAGAATTTGTTCCTGAATGATCTGTGATATAAGGGGTTCAGTAGAAAATATGAGAAATAAACCGTAGAGGCAGCAAGAGAAATCAGTCTATTTGAATGAACTAATCAGTCTTTCTGTTTCTTCTTTGGGGTGGGTAGTTGCATCTTTCACTATTTCTATCTTCTTTCTAACAGCCATTCCTCCTGTGATCATGAATGCCCTAGAGAAGAGAGCATTTCTGAAGGTATGTTTTTTTCTTTTAATTCTTAGTTGAGATCTCTAGAGAGAAAAAGTTGTGATTGTTTTCATTATGACCCTCCTTTTTGGCAGAGGTGAGGGTGGGGCAAATATTTTTCTGTTTTGTTTCTCAGGGCTTCACACCCTGCAATTTCTCTTTTTCTGTTCCAATGCCAAAAGAATAATAGAATCATAGAGTTGGAACAGACCAAACAAAGGTTGGGAACCACTGATGTAGCAGAACCTTAAATCACCAGTGGGCAAAGTGTGCATTTCAGGGTGAATGTCATGCCCAAATATGCTTTTGCATTGCCTCACCCATTCAGGTTCTCTGGACTGCCCTTTATTTTTAAAATAAAGCCTGAACTCTCTCTCCTGCTACCCTTATGAAGGGACAATTTATGTTTTAGTGGGTTGCACTGTTTAACATTTAAAGACATCACGTTTTTCAAAACCTGAATTGTCTTTTTCTCTGAGTCTCTTAACTGAAGGACATCTGAAAACCTAACCAAAAGAAATTGATTTCTGTTGGTTAGGTTTTACAAGGTATTACAAGGCACTGCAAGCACAGTTTACATTTGAACATGCCTAAACATCCCATTCTAATGTTAGATAAAAAGCAAGATTTTTAAATTTAATTAAGCATGTATAACTGCAGCATAGGATACTTTTATCTCTCAGTACTGATTGTCTTTGGCAGGGAAAGGATATAAACTCATTATCATTTGAACCCAAATGCTGCTACTGTGTTATTAAAGCAAAATCCCGTTGTACCTTTCTCCTTATATATTCTATAGGTTGTGCTCAGAAGGGTTTGTGTGGAACTCCCTTTGCCACACAAACAGCCGAAGATCTGTAAACTCAACATAGAAACCACAGCATTTGAAAATAATGTAGATAATAACAAGGCTTGTGGTCTTTTGTTTTTTTCAGCGATACCCCATGATGAATGCTCCTCTGCAGGTTGGATTAGTCGGCTTGTGGTATGTAAACTCTTTGTTCAAATAGGACTGCTGTACATCAGATGGATAGCAGAGGCTGTGTTATTTTATTTTTCCATTAGCAGACCCTAGAACTGACTTAATAAGACTCCCTGTTTAGAGAGCTGTACTGGTCAAAGTGTCAGAGCAGGGCTCAAATCTCAGTTTAGCCTCCAAAGCTTTCTCCAACTCTCTATACAACTTTGTGAGAATCACTTGGGACTTTTGAGAGAATAGCAACTATTCATACCACCTTACACCCTTGGAGAAGAGGTAATGATCATGTAAATGATCGTGTTTTTGGAGTGAAACCAAGTTGCACTGGACTTTCAGAAGTAAACTTAGTGATATTTTTTGCTGGTAAGATTGTGGGAATCATGCATAAATATACACCAACGCACACACTGATTGATAGATATTTTGTAATTCCTTACCTGACTTTCAAGGCAAGAGGCCTAGTAATACAGTCTTCAAAAATGAAAAGCAATAAAATTGGATGAATATACTGGCCAACACATATTTTGGTGCCTCAAATGTTAGCCCTGATTATGGGTAAATTTGAAAAATGGCACCAGTATTTCCCTATCAGCTCTAGTTTTTGAGATACAAACCATGTATCACCATCTGCTCACTTGTAAAAAATCATAATAGCCATATCTAAGAAAGTTTAGAGCTGATGCAGTCTATCCAATGCAATTTTCTGAATATGGTCTTCAAATAACCCCCGGAACAGGCTTAAAAACTAAGACACCAAGAGGTTTATTTGTTGGACTGTGATATACCGTACACTTGAGTATATGCCGTGTTTTTCAGCCCTTTTTTTAGGCTGGAAAGACCCCCCTTGGCTTATACTTGAGTCAAAGTTATTTATGATTTTACTCATTATTATTGTTTTTATTACATTTATTATTTTACTCTTGTTATTATTATTATTATTATTACATCTGCATTATTTTACTCTATTATTATTATTATTATTTTCTTATTACATTTATTATTTTACTTTATTTATTTATTTATTTATTTATTTATTTATTATTACATTTATTATTTTCGTCTATTATTATTGGAAGGGTACGTAAGCACATTTACATCGAAGAAAGATAGAATAATGGATTAATCAGAATTGGATAATCTTATCTTAAATTACATTCAAAAATATTTAACCTACTGATGCCTCAATTAATGTAATTTTATTGGTATTAATAGCTGCTGCATTTCCCACCCTCGGCTTATACTCGAGTCAATACATTTTCCCAGTTTTTGTGGTAAAATTAGGTGCCTTGGCTTGTATTCGGGTCAGCTTATACTCAAGTATATATGATAGATGTTACTTTAGTTACGTGAAGATTGGTAACAGCATTTCTTGCTGATCCATTCTAAACACCCAGTCAAGGTACAAACCAAGATATGTCCCAAATGCATTTTATTTGTGTGACACTCATAAGCTCTGTTACAATTATAACAACATGATAATTTAGGAATTTTCCCCATTTTGATGTCTTTCCGATACTTTTGATCAACTTTCATTATCCCTGGTCATTGGCCATTCTGGCTGGGGTTAAAGGGACTTGTCGCCTATTACATTTGGAAGGAGATTGGAGAAGGTCATGGGTTATGTGGTGCTATTCAACACTTTCCTTGAAAAATATCTCCAATAAAGCATTTTATTATGGGGGTGGGTAGGAGGAAGAGAGCAAGCCTGAAAGATAGGGGCTGCTAAAAAGTAATTTTGATTGTGCGAAAAATAAACAAACCCCCATGGCATATTGTTCACTCAGCATGTTGACTGAATACCAAAAATTTGCCTTATGTGTGCCCACATCGTAGAGAAGTATTGAACATAATTTGGTTCCCCTGATAGTTGGAAACAAAAATAATTGTCCCAAAGAATCATGAATTAGCCAGGGAGTAAATGACCTCCTGAAAACCTCTCTTCTGTCTCTCTTTCCTGCAGTTTGGTATTTGCTACACCCCTTTGTTGCGCTCTCTTCCCACAGAACAGGTAAGTAAACTATGGCATAGACATCCATGTTGAAATCTTTGGTCCTTCCAAGCGGGGCTGGAAATCCAAAGAGTAGGATGTTCTTGGGATAAATCTCTTGTCTGGGATGTATTCTGGAAATGTCCTATCCAGTAAGGCTGGTGTAGTTTATCATCCAGGCTCAGTGCTTGGAACTTGGGACTATAGCTTAATGGTAGTATGCAGTTATCCCTTGTGGGGGATGGAGGTTCCTAGGCTACTAGGTAATCAGGGCCACTGGTTGCTGGCTGCTTTCCCCTTCCCTCAGTACCTGCCTTGCAGGGAAGCAGATGGGAAAACAAGTAACAAGATGACAGCAATATGTAATATGTGTATTATGACTTCAGGTGTATTTACACTGTAGAATTAATGCAGTTTGACACCACTTTATTTGCCATGGCTCAGTGGTGTGAGATCATGAGAATTGTAGTTTTACAAGATCTTTAGCCTTCTCTGCCACAGAGGGCTGGTGTCTCACCAAACTACAAATCCCTGGATTCCATAGCATTGAGCCATAGCATTTAAAGTGGTGTCAAACTGCATTACTTCTACAGTGTAGTTGCTCCCCAGGTTTCATTATGAGAATTAATATTCAATTGTTATATTACTGATATATCCTTGAGTCCCCTTGGGGAGAGGGGGCGGGATATAATAAAGCTTTATATTATTATTATTATTATTATTATTATTATTATTATTATTATTATTATTTGTGATTATAATTTTATTAGTGATCAGGTGATACAATATCCACAATTAAGAGGTATCAAACCACAGTAATTTCAGAGTTTAGATGCTGTTGGGATTCATCCCTGGACTGCACAAGTCTCTTGTGTCATCCAGTTTCCAGACCTCAGTGAGTAGCTAGACTAGAGATAGAATTAAGCTGAGGGATTCCTTTCCTCACTTTACCATGTATGTTTTCCAAAAGGGCTTTGTCTTCACTCCTTCTGATAGCCACTGTCTCTGCCCCCCCCCCCCCCCGGCCTTTGATGATATAGGAATGGAATTCTGTGAGGGAACTTTCTCTTTAAGTCTCATTGCCCTGGGTTGACCATGTGGTCTCCACCATTGTCTCTTCTGCCCTTTCTTCCTTTCAGTGAGGACGTATTTTGCCTCTCTCTTTAGGCAAAAATGGAGCTGCATGGATTTTTAAAACTTTTTTTACTCTTTTACTTCTTTAGAATATGAGGTTTATAAAGATCAAGTAGACAGAACATATTGTAAAGAATGAAAATAACTTTCTGGCCCTTCTGGCCTTGCATTGCACATTTTAGTGCAAATATTAAGACACAAATAGTGTTCAATTCAGCGAGTATTGCAGAATGTCATGCCGCAGTCCATAGCTCCAAGACCTTTTCTATCTAGAATGTGTTTATTTTACTTCAATAAATATTTTTGAACCTGAAGTTCTGACTCAGCAATCTTGTGCCATCCTAAGAATAGAAGCTTATCCCAGTTTCACCACACATAAGTTTCTGCTGGATATGAAGTTTATTCTGTTACTCCTATATTTATGGTGGAATCACCTCAACTGAGGGTTATTTTGAGCCTAACAGCTCAGGTTCCTCAACAGATGCATCCTCTGTTTTTAGATCCATTGCTTCAAATTGGAAACATTTTGGTATCTGTGAAATAGCAGAATAGGGAAGCAGTGGTGAGGGATTATAATGATGATGTGTTTTTACATCTCTCTGCAGCTCAATGTCTGTGAGTCGCTTGGAACCTGAAATCCAAGCTCAGATCCAGGAGAAGAATCCTGGCGTTGAGGTTGTTTATTTCAACAAGGGGCTTTGAGAGAGGCTCCTTCATTCTTACCCTGGTATGCAGCAGAAGGGATGGCGAGGAGAAGAACCAGGGATCCGGTGCTCCCAAGAAGGAGAAAGTTACACGTTGTGCTAGTATAATCCCTTGCAAATGCTGCTTTCTTATTGGCTGCCAAGCCTTGGCAGGTCTTAACGTGTATGATAAAAGCCTTCCTGGATTCAGGGGAACCATAGGGTAGATTGTCATATGTGAACAAAGTATAAACATTCCTTTCCTGACCTAGTTAGGTGTTAGGATCAGAGCAGTCAAGTGGTCTTAAGCAAACCTGAACCCCTATATTATGCGCAAATCCACTGTGGTGTGTTTGTGTGTGTAAGTGTATGTGTAGGGTTTTGTAAAGTTCATTGTGAAATAATGTCATAAAAGTAATGATTCTGGGATCATTTTGGGAGAGGAGAATCCACGGAACACCTTGAATCCTTTGGTTCCATTGCAGAAGGAAACATTCTTTGTGTTTCAGCTTATATCTTGTGTATTCAATGCTAAAGAAGATTCAAATAGTATTCAGATAGTATTCTTTGTTGCAATCCCTCTTTATTTTATAATATGTGCTTAAGCATTTCTATATATTTTATTCCTTTTAATAGCAAGTGAAACATAACAAGAATGATATTTGACACAGCCTTAAAATTACCACGTATATATGAATGTGTGACCCTTAATTAATATGTATATGAGACAATACCCAGGACCTTTAATGGAAGCAAGTGATCAATTATATTGAGAGAATAACTATGCAATAAGAGAAACAGCTCAACTTCTAATAGATGTGTGGATTTTCTATCAAATCTAAGTTCACGGCTGCTCAAGTGCTTGGAAAACAAAGCCAAGATCTAATATTGCTGTCAGGTGGGAGGGTTGACCCAAGCTAGACTACTTGATGATATCCTCACTAACCCAAGCACATCTACACTGACCATTTAATGTTGTTTCAAGCCAGTATTGAAGAAAATTGTTTGACTGTACAGGTGATTTCATAGGAAATCCTGGAACCAGTTTGAGGTGTTGATGATAGATAATTACACAAACCACAGAGCACTGATGTACATGAAAACCTTCCTTTCACACAATTTTGTGGGAGTTTGTTGTCTGGCTGCTGGAGTTTGAAGTTAGCTTTGAACGGCTTTACATAGCCAGTGTAGATGGCAGCCAAGTCAAGGTGTGTGTTATCCAAAGACCTCCAGTTATTTTAGGGTGAGGTAGAATTCCCCATTCATAACATTGAAAACATCACAAATCACTACAAATTTCTATCATTACACACCATCCACAATTTGCTGCTTAAAACAACTGTCATGTTACGTTATCCAGTAAGTAAGGTTACAAGATTTTTTAAAAAAATACAAAGAATTAATATAATTTAATAAAACTTAAATGGATTATAGCATAGGTATTACATTTTTTCCTACATAACCACCATTCATTTCAATACATTTTGTCATCCCTGGGACAAGTTTTTGATGCCTGTGTCAATTTCCCTCCGCCTTTTTCAGCCAATTAGTCACTTTGATTTTCACCTTTTCGTCGTCAAAAAAGTGTTTTCCACAAAGGTGTTCCTTCAGTTTAGTGAAGGGATGATAGTCACTGAGTGCAAGATTAGGGCTGTGAGAGGGGTGGCTTAAAACATCCCAACCAAATGAAGTCAACAACTCTTGTCTTGTGCATGAGTGCTGTGCGGACGCATATTGTCATTAAGGAGAGAGACTCTCGCCGTCAGCATCCCACGACATTTGTTTTGGATGGCTCTGCAAAGTTTCTTCATGGTCTCACATTATGTTATGTATTCATTTTGTCACATGCTGTCTTGACATTGCACCCTCTCCATAAACAAATGATTTTGCGATGAATCGTAGTGGCATTCATGCCCTTAGCATTTAGGTAGCATATTACAGTGCAAACTTTGCACTTGGAAGGAAACAGAATGAGGACACGCATCTCTTAACCTTCACCACAGCGCCAGTTGATGAGCTACTGATGACTGGCACTGCTCGTTTCCTTTTGCTGACTTCCTGCTACATGGCAGTGATACCAACTTCCCCCGAGAAAATACCCAGTGAAGCTATGTGCCTTGTAACCTTACTTTCCGGATAACCCTCATATATTACAAAGGCACATGGAAATCAATGTGCACAAATGAATTCCAAATCTGCTCCTCGAAACCATAAAGTTTCAAATGTGACCCAAGAATGGTTCATCAGACTTATTATGCAGTAAGCTTGTGTCCTTTTGCTCTCATTTAGCTATTATCGCATTATTAAAAGCAGCACTGATATATTTTTAAAGATCAAGGAGCAATTCAGTGTGATGGCATTCAAACTGAGGATCTTTTGGCTCATAATATTGAAAATCTTTAATCTTGTCTCCTTCATTTGAGTAGCCGTAGAACTTCTAGGTGCAGCATACTTTGTGCTCTCCTCTCCCAAAATGAGAAATAAATTTGTTTTACTTGTTCTATCTTTCTCTGCCTGTCATCACTAATGCGCAAGTTCGTAAGTACATACATTATTGTAACCTAAAGTGAAGATTTGATTGTGTGGTGACCCGTCTGTCCTGCATATCAAGTCATGTATATATCAGTCAGGTTTGCAGTATAATTGACAATCTTTGGTGTATTTTGCTGCAATTGAATAATCAAGGTATATGCAAGTATCTTTTCTGTATTGTGACAATACAGGGATTGGATCTTTAGTTGTTAACATGGGGAAAAAATGTGTAGGAACTAATCTGATGCTTTGCTGCAGAACCAAGACTCACGGTCCAGTAAAGCAGTGGTTCTCAACCTGTGGGTCCGCAGATGTTTTGGCCTTCAGTTCCCAGAAATCCTAACAGCTGCTAAACTGGCTGGTTTTCTGGGAGTTGTAGCCCAAAAACACTTGGGGACACACAGGTTGAGAGCCACTGCAGTAAAGGAAGTAACATGAAACTGAATAGGTTTGGGCAAAATTTCTCTGTGTTGATTGTGATGCCTACATGGTAATACTCTAGTTTTTGTCTGCTGTGTAGACACAGTGAGTTGATATAAGATCAACATGACTGAATCAAATGCACTGAATCAGCTCATCCACACACCCTTTTGGAATCTTAACTCAGTCATGTCCCGAATACTTGCTCGGTTGTTTTGAAAAATCAAAGGCAAAACAGTAGAGGAAATGTATTTTCTTTGCTTGTGGTTTCACAGAATATGACTGATACAAGTTAACTTTCCTGCAATCTATGCTATTCTGTGTTCTGTGCAGTCTGGCATCAAAAATCATTGCTAAAGTCCAGAACCTTTAGTTAAAGGTCACTTTGACCCTTGAATTTAGCAGCAACAGCAGGGTCCAGAGGAATTATGTAACCTAAATTGGAGCTGACATTCATGGTGACACATCAAGGTAGGGTAAAAAACAGAACTGGTCCATGCTGGCTTCTCCAACCATGGCTGAAGGTCAGTGGCTTAATCCGGTTTTTGGTCTTTTTCATTTGTGGAGCAAGTCACATATTTTAATCAGAGAAAAACCCCAGTAGGGTCTCTCTGACTGGTTTCTTATAAATGTCATTGTCGCTGGAGGCTCGGAGTTCTCTCCAAGGTTGCTATGTGCTCTTTATTATGTTTACTCTTAATGAGACCTCATCCAAGTCTTACAAGTTTCTGATGGGTCATTTAAGTCTTTTTATTTTATTATGATGGGTATGTTTGAGGCTTATTTTACCAAACTTCAAGCACTGTTTCTGTGCAGGAATCTGCACTGATTCCATGTCTTACCTCTTGTATAGCTTTAAATAAGGCAACTGTTCCCAAATAAAGAGTATAATTCTTGTCTCTTGCACATGATGTCATTTCTTTCTTAGTTGGGCAGAAGAAATGCATATATTGTTGTGCTCTGATTCATATACAGGAGATTTAATGCTTCATTTACAGTAAGTAGCAGACCAAAGGAGAAGAAACATTGATGGTGGAGCTCTTCAGGTATGGTGCCCCATTTAAGCAAATCGCTGGCATGATCTTTCCAGAAGAGCAGAAGGAATGATGGAGTCATTATCATCACAGGGTGATTTTCTCCCATTGGAAAAAATTGCTCCTCTTATAACATTATTTCGGTAAACCTTAATTCAGATTGACTGAAATCCAAAGTTGTCCACACAAGCGGCTGAGATAGTGACACCTTTGCTTCTGATGAATCAAACTTCGTTTAGGTACAAAATTCTTAAAACATTATATACAATTACCTTCAGGTTATGTGCATCAAGTGACTATGAAGCATAAATTAATTTCATGGTTAGACTTTGACGCTATCTCCAAGATATCTCATTATGCACATGTATGCAAATACAGATATTCCAAAATACAAAACACTTTTGTTCCCAGGGATTTAAAATAAAGCAAATCCAACCTGTATTATGTCAACTTCTTTCAGTTTAAGAGGCAAAACTAGTCAATTTCCCCTAATTAGATTACTTTAGTGTTTTTTCCAGTTCTATTTTTAGAACCTTCTCTAATAGACAAGGTTATGGATGGTTTGTAAGGTAACAAGCTATAGAAATAATAACTTGCAGAATCACCTTGATTTCAGTAGGCTTGCTCTAAGTGTGGCTAAGTCTGGATAGCCATTGAGCACATGAATTTGCCTTGTACGCAATATTTGTTCCTCTACCTCAATATACTTCATGCTGATAGCCTTTGACCAAAGAAACAGGGAGTTGAACCGTGTTCTCCCAGATTGTGTGCTCCCTCGCCAAGGAACAGAACGTGCTGTTGTCCAATCTTGGATTTGCAAATAGGCCTCACATCTACTGTGAGTCACTTAAGTGCCCTAAGTCTCTGGCTGACACTTTACACCTGCAGTGTGCTGGTGACCCATGAGACAAGGGCTCACATGATTTGCCACGATTCGAGTGAGAAAGAAATCAAGCCCAAAGCCAAAAGAAGAGGGACAGGTGCTGCTTGGGAGTACTTGTCGCCATCTGCTTGCCATGTGAGCTTTCCCTCTCACTTCCTCCAGCTTAGCATATTTCATGGATGGATCCAGGATGAGCCATCAATCAATGGCTGATAAATAATGTAGGAGGCTGCGGTGCAATAAGACTTGTCAATTGCAATTCTGCCCTCATACATTAAAGATGAAAAGGTACAAGGCTCTTGCCAGAAAAATGAAGACAAATTTTTAATAGTGTGCCAAGTTGCTGCGAGGTGGAATACTCGTGGAAAAATGAATTACATTTTTATTATGTGTTTTATTATGCTGTAATGAACGGAATTATGTGAGAATACAATACATTTCAAATGCAGCTGAGTGGAAAGAGAAACACATTTTTATGTCCCTCCTCCCATTCTGTCTTTGTGCAAAGGATCAGAGAGTTAAGATGCAAAAGATTTAACCAAGGGAAGATTCCTCTTAATATGAGAGCATCCTATTAAAAAGTGAGGATAATTCTTTATTATGTGTAAGAAAGAACTTGGCTTGCAAAAATACTTTGAAAAGTTAAATGGATGAAAGAGAAAATTCATTTGTTTTAAACAGAAGGCTATTCAAAAAGTCAAAGATGTGACTTATTTCAGTATGAAGGTGAAAAAAAAGCAGGATTCCTTATCTGCAATTCTTGGCCATCTGCCCCTTGCCTCTTTCTAATTTTGCTACCAAGTTCTGTCTCGGTGCCCTTCATTCCGATGCATTCTGGCATTTCTTCATAATTCATCACTATTGCACAGTGGTGCTATGCAGCCCATGTGACATATTTTTGTAAAACAAACAGAAACAACCACATTGCTTTTGATGTAGTAAAATATGCCACTCCTTAGTGCTCTTTCACAAGTGCCATAGAAGCTCATTCTGTTTTTCTCACTCTTTCTGCTATCAAACTGCCACAAACAACAATGGTTTAGTAGAAGTATAGACCGGAGAGAGAGCCTAGCTATCCTAAAGGCATCAGATACTGCCTGAGTTTGGAAGCTAAGTAGAGTCAGCCCCAGTTACAACTTGTATGAAAGACTACTAGGGAATACCAGGCCCTGTATGTTATCTTTCAAAGGAAGGTACTGGCCAAGGTACTGAGCCAATGTATAAGTTGTCCAAAAAATATATTTACAATTTACTTTTTTTTTGTTTTTTGTTTTAGAAAACTGGCAAACTGAGTATTTCTTGCCCAAGAAAATCATATGAAATTAATGGGGTTCCATAAGTCAACAGGTGACTTGAAAGCACATGCACATAGAGCAGTATTCTCAACCAGAGGATCGGGACCCAGGGGGGCAGGGGGAGGATTGCAAGGTGGGTTTTAGAGAGTTGCCAAAGACCATCAGAAAATACATATTTCTGATGGTCTTAGGGACCCCTTTGTTAGAGAAGGCTGAAGATCTCTCCGCCTGTCCTTCTCTTCTTTTTTGGAAACAGACAGCGAATCCTCCCACCAAAAGCCTTCCTCTGCTGTGATTGGCTGGCCTCTCAGCCAAGGGGAGGGCTGTTTCTGAGACTCCAAGCAGGGAGGGGAGAGCAGGCATGCTCAGCGCATGGCAGCATGGTGCACATGCACAGGCAAGGGAGAGCATGCAAGGCTGGAGGGAGGCTCATGTAAAAGAAACACTTTTTTACTTCAATCTCTTAAAAGTAACTTAGTTGCTTTTAGTTAATTTTAAAAACTTGAGAAATATAAGCTGTTCGGCATGTGATACAAGCTACAATTTCCTTATTTCAATAACTTGAAATTCAATGATGCACAGTGCACATGCCAGAGTTTGAGGCATCAGCATGAGACTGATATTCCTGTGCCACATTTTAGAAAGTTTACACACCCTTAATCATGAAATTATCTTTAAATTATAGTTAAGGTATTTCTTGCTAAGTTACAACAGGATTGTAAGTAATCATGCCTTTGTTACTAGCAAAATATATTGACATTAAATAAATGCTTTGTAAGTAGTTACTTTCATGCTATGGAAAGGGGATATCTGAAACTACTAATTTTCAAACACAGCTAAAAATCAAATCTGGAATTCAATAGTACAGTTATATATTTATATGTATGTACAGAAATGCCAATCACACTGTTGCTAATATAAAATGAAAGGAACACATTAAAATCAAAGATAAATATAGTGAATTGAAGAGGACCAAATGGAAGTTCTATTCCAGGCATTTCCTGGAAATGTCTTATTTAACTATGAGTCATGAGGAAAACTGTCGGAAAAATAGTGGAACGTGTGATCAGATAAAGAATGAGCAGATCAAAGAAAATACATGTGGAATGAATGAAAGAGCAAATTTTTTAATATAGTCTCTGGTAATATAGTCCCCAGGCTCACAAATATTTGTGAAACCACCCTCCTACACCCAGGAAATTTCCCCAGAATTCTTTTGCAAAGGCAGTGCTATAGCAAGCAAAACATTACCAACTTTTTCTAACCGCTTGCCCCATTATCCCACCCCTAGACGGACAATATTAACATTTTTTGTTTTTCCCACTTTCTAGCCTCATTAGCGGGTTATCTCTCTCACCTGCTGTAATCTATTACCTCCTTTTCTTATCCTCTCCTAGGGATGCCAGTGCTTGGTTATGATTAAGCAGGCCATTAAGTGGAGAGTGTTTTTACCTTTAGGGCTGGATCGTCTGCGATCTAACTTCTCAATTAGTATTTTGGAAAACGTCAACCAAGATTAATAGTTGCATTGCTCCGGGACAGGGCAAATGAAGACTGGGAAAGGCAAGCTGCTGCAGCAGAAATAGGGCTGGCATGGAGGCGAGCTCTTGCTAGAATAGGCAAAGGGTTCAGGTTTGGCAACCTGGCATCAGTTGGACAAGGGCCATGGTGGGAGTCTATGCATAAGAGGCAGACCTTCAAGAGTGAAAACATGCAGGTCCCCCAGAAATGCAAGCTGCCTGGTATTTGCTTACCATGGAAGAACTTCCATGGACATCAAACAAAATTAGTATTATAGTGTTATTATATTTGTATTTATCCTGCTTTTGTCTCACAGCCAAGATGCCTAGTGGCTAAAAAGATCTGTGAATAGTTAAATGTGCTTTATTTCTTTCTGTTTTAACTAAGGGCCCTTCCAGACCAGGCCCTATACCCCAGTATCTGACCCCAGGTTTTCTGCTTTAAACTGGATTATATGAGACTGCACTGCCAGATAATCTGGGATAAACAGAAAACCTGGGATCAGATCCTGGGATATAGGGCCTTTCTGGAAGGGCCCAAATTGTCCTGCAAAAGCCTCCATTTTCGTCTTGGTGAATTTAGATTACATAATTATAGTGCTATTATTATTGCATTTTAACTGCTATGTATGATTTGAATGAAATCCAAGTGTTTGTAGTTTAGTGAGACACGGGAGGATTTTGACAGAAAATACTAAATTGCCAATCCCGGGATGCCATGGAATGTTGCAATGGCAGTTTAAGTGGAAGGTATCACTAGAGTTGTATCAGGCAAACGGGCCTCAGACTATATGAAAGTCCAGTGTCATTTCAGGACAAATCAAGCTACAAATGTGATGCCATTAAAAAAAGGAACAAGTCACCACCCTTCAAGAAACAATATGTTTTCCTGTTATTTTTTATTTCCATTTCTGGACTTGCTATAGCAGAAAGAGAAATGAGCTAAATGAGTACCGGTATCTAAATTGTGCTGTGCTAATAATATATTATATACACATATAATATTGATAATAATATTAGAATGTAATACAGTATAATACTAATAATAATACAATATAATTATTACATATTTCATATTACATGTAATATTACTAATAATATTGCAATATATTGTTGTATAGTACAAAATGGGAATGGATGGTACTAATATTGTGCTATGCTAATAATATAATAT